AGAAAAGTGACAGGCTTGTAGGCGGTGCGCGCGCGACGGCCGTTGAGGTCGCGGCGGCTGCGAGGAGGAAGGGGCTGAATCCGAGCCATCTGGGCCCGATCCGCTTTCTTTCACATCTGTGTCCAACTGGGCCGGACACTCAAAGTGGACGCAGTGGAAGACCTGCAAGGACGACATTGTGTGAAGGTGCTAGTGGTCAGTAGGAAGACACAACCACCGGTGCAATTTCATTGGCTTTTACTGAGCAAATGCTTAAAACAATCCTGAAAGCAGCACACAAACACACACGCTAAACTTGGCCGAATTACACTAATGTGTTCGCCAGTTAACAGCCAGCCAAGCCTACGCTCTCAATGGCTGAGGCTCACGTCACTCACCAGGTCCGGCGCCACCTTTTTGAGCTATACACACAGTCATTACGTGAGAATGGTGACCGCAAGTGGAAAAAAATCCCTGCACCTCATGTGAAATCTGAATCTACTTAATCAATGGGCTAGTCAGTAGAATACTTGATTAAAAAAAAAAAAAACACGATTGGTCAAAATGTCCTTTTTTCTTTTTTTTTTTTTTTTAAGCTCCCCAAAACGTGCCTTTTGATTCCCAGTGTATCGACTGGGATTCAGGCTGGTGTGGCGGCCTTCGAGCGCCTTGTTCTCATCCATGAGTGCACAGGTGGGTGATGTCAGACAGTGTGTGAACTGGCCGCTTTAGAGTGAGTGCCTCGTTGTTGCGGCGTTAAAAAGCAGCACAAGGATATCCTGCCATTGGAGGCTTTTAGAGGTGATGTTCGATACCAAGTACCAATACCAGGGTTCCCACTCTTCCACTTGCTTTTTATTTCTGGACCTTTAAAGGACTTTTGAGGGCAAATTCAGCCATTTTTAAGGACTTTTTCTCCATTCAGCAGGGGATTCACGGTGGATTTAATGCTTGCTTAACAATATGCGAGCTGAACAGAAAGCCACATATCACTGAGATGGTGTTCAAATCATTGCTGCCAAAGGAAGGGCACATCTTTATTTTTAGGGGCAATCAGCTTACCCTTTATTTGACATACTGTATGTCAAATTTTCATTTTCCTACCTGTACTAGGTACAGTACAGGTAGGAAAATGAAAAAAAAAACACCAAAAAAAGTACACCAAGAAAAATTTTAAGTTAGAAAATATAAAACTTCAATTTATTTTCAAATAAAAAAACATTTTAAAGGATTTTTATTAATTTTAGAAGCTTTCCCTGAAAATTAAGGACAATTAAGAACATAATTTTGCAACTTCTTTTTTGATGGATTTTTATGAACTTTAAAGGACCCGTGGGGAACCCTGAATACGACAAGTAGTTTTGATGCATAAGATTTCAGTGACCATAACAGATAACTTGAATTTCATTTTCCCATCTTTCTGACGCACATGATGATTCGCCGACGGGTAAAGCCGCCACATTATAGGACCAGCAACTGGCAAAGAGAACTTAGTCAATGTCCATTTTTTTGGGCAATATTAACTATTGGTGCCTGGTTTCAGCAGCTTTCAAGAGTGGTCAAAATATCCATAATATGTATTTTGGCGGCTCAAGCGTCTAAGTTATGTGTAAGTAAAAGAAAGACGCTAGACAAAGACAGATTCGCTTTTCCAGGTGGTGCTCATCGTATTTGATTGACAGGAGACAGCTGAGCAGGACGTGCCTTCGACGTAGCAATTGGATTTCAACTTTTATGTTGCGCTTGCAAACAAATGGCTGAAGTGTGAATTGATTACGCTTCTTCGGTTCCGCTATGTCCCATTTGTGTGAAACGCGTGACGCGAACGCAGCGTGGCTGAGACGGATGCAAAGGAGGCGAGTCAATGGCGGTGTGCGTTCACCTCGTTGGCGGTGTTGTGCGTGCCCACGATGCGGATGAAAGAAGCCGGCTGCTTGTCGAACTTGAGGCTCTGCCAGGACCTGCCACACAAGGAGGTCACGTGGACAGCGTTAGCGCACAAAAAGCAACGCTGTCCGTCTGTCGATCGGCGCTTATCTGTCGCCTTCGCTGGCCTCACCGACACGTCACTCGAGTGCGGTCCACCACCTTGGTCCACTGCTGCTGATTGGTAGAGACCTCGATGTAGTAACTGTATGAGCGCTCGTCGCAGTCCCACAGCAGGAGCCTGCGCACAACGTCAAAAAAGTGAGCATGACCGACAGAAATTGGTTTTCAAACAATATTTTTTTGGAATGACTGTATTTCCTGCACTACAAGGCGCACCTAAAAGCATTAAATTTTCTCAAAAGCTGACGGCGCGCCTTTTAATCCGATGCGCCTTATATGTGGATCAACATTCTGCTTTCTTGGATGTAGCATTTTAAATGTTTTGTAAAGTGCTTTGTTACAGCGCAATCGAAATAAAGCTACACTATTGTATTCCCTTTAGTGTAGCTCCATCTAGTGGATGCGTAACACAAGCTCAGTATTTTATTTGTAGCTTCTACTCTATGCGCCTTATGGTGCGGAAAATACGGTATTCTTAAAATAAATAGATAAATAAATATAGCCTCAGCCACTATTGCAGCTTCTATTTTATGCGCCTTATAAAGCGGTGCGCCCAATATATGAAAAGTGTTTTGAAATAGACCATTGACTGACGGTGCGCCTTGTACTACGAAGCGCCTTATAGTGCGGAAAATACGGTCATCGTAAAAAAAAAAAAAATAAAAATAAAAATTTAAAAGGTTCCAAGAGAGAGCTTCAAGTTCTACTTCCAGTTCAAGGTGACTGCAAAACTCAACGTACAACAAAGAGAACAACAACTCATGTACAGTTGGTAACCAAACCGCAATTTACAAAAGTCCGCTAGCTTAATGCTAACACACAAAGCACGATTTGAAAAAAAATATGCTTTCACCTCTTGCAGGCAGGTGTGGAAGGTGTGACCCCGCATACAACGGGGGCTCACTCTAATAAATAAGCCCATCCATTTATCCGCCACCGTGGCCACGTTCTCGCTGGGCACTGCGCACACGGCACGATGAATGGGAAGATAGGGCGCCAAGATGTGAGTGTGAGAAAGGAAGCGTGAGACGTATAAGAGAGAGAGAGAGAGAGAGAGAGCGCCCCGTTCCCGGAACTCACCCAGCAGTCCTTGCTCCAGGGTGAAGGTGCGGTTGGTGAACATGCACTCAAAAGCCACCAGATGGAAGACCTTGTTGACCGTGTTGTGCGTTCCCACAATGCGAACGTACCTGCCACGCGCAACAAAAACCGGCGCCGCGGTGTCAAGAGCAGAAAAAAGCCGAGCGGCAGCAGGTGAGACACGGGGCTTGCCTGCACACTCTGGGTGTGAAGAAGAGATTCTGCCAGGAGCGGCACAAAAACTTGGAATGGTCCACCACGCGAACCCAGTCCAGCTCGTCCATGGAAACTTCGACGTAGTAAGAATACGAGCTGCCATCACGACAAGACAACTTGGATGAGATCACACTAACACTCAGCTGCACTTGATTACACATTGAACAAAAACGAAGAAAGGCAGACTTTTTTTCCCCCACAAGAACAAAAAAGATTGATTTTTGCGATGGTGTGAGCGATACAGATTCATTCTTAAATCTTTTACTCCAAAACCGCCCTAACCTGAAATCCAAAACGATGCAACACCACCACCTACATGGACCGGTTTGTCATTACAGTTGTGTGGAAGCTTGATTTTCAGACAAGGTCACACAAATAATGAAATGAAGATCAAGCCGGCGAGCACTGGAGCACTCGATGCCTGCGAGGAGGAAAGCGAGGCGCCTTTGCAAGGCAGGACTTCGCGCTCGCGAGGGGGGCGGCCCTACCGGCTATCTCTGTCCCACAGCAGCAGTCGCACGTGGTTGATGATGGACGGCTGTCCCAGTTTGACCTGGATGCCGGCCCGGCCGTCCTCCTCGATGGGGTGCCTGGAGAAGCCGTGATCCAGGTCGTAGTTCTGAGTGTCCCCGTCCAGCAGCGCCGACTTCAGCTCGCCTTTGGTCACCTGAGCGCCGTGCTTCATGGTTGCGATGTTCTCCTCTGGTACTGAAAGACAACAAGAGCGCCGATGCCTAAGTCGTCTTCTACTGGGGGCAAAAAAAAAAAAAACATGCAGAGCACATGTCAACATAAACAACGAATGTCGAGGAGTGCTTTTTGAGGTCCAGGATGCTTTGGGGTGTTGTCCCCAGATCGCAACATATGAGACAGGAGCATTTTCGTCAAGGGAACTAAAAACAAAGATTTGTATTGGCAAAGGCGGCTTTGTTCTGCTGGCGGATTATGTCCTATCACTCACGTTCCCGTTTCAGACGCTTCATTCCTCACGTCCGAAGTCGCAGATCCCATCACATTTCTCATGACACGTCTCATTCTCATGTTAAATTCGTCAAGTTCCAAGACTCGCTTTTCATTCCTGATCCTCTCACATTTCAAGCCCCCGTCCAATATTTGTCATGTAGCGGTTAAATGTAGTCCGATTATTTTGAAAGTATTTTGAAAGACAAAAGAATTACAATGACATAAATACAGCCATGGGTGTATTTAACTCATTCAATCCCAGCCATTTTCACTGGAGCAACCCTCTCAATCCCAGCGTTTTACTGGATTTTGACTGATCTTGCAAGGCCCACAGAATATTTGGTTCTAAACCTACATCAACATGGAGCCTACCAAAATAAAGTTTGGACTCTCTAGTGTTTCTATCTTTTTCTATTCTTCAGCAATCGGCATTACAAAATGGCTAAGTTTCATGGAAATGGCGATTCCTGGTCAAAGAGAAAAAGAGCTTTTTGTAAAAGCATGCATTTCAATCACGTGAGCCACTACTGCCACCTACTGGTCGCTTTTTTTTTTTTTTACATAATTTACAATGCAAACGGCTTATTCTCATTCAGATTGCATCAGACCCTCCTGCCCTCTATGACACAAAAAAAAAAAAGACTTACAAGTACGTCCTTGGTAGGCGGGGCCTAATTTTAAAAAGACGTCCAAGTACGTCTTGTGGAATGCAAGAGTTAAAAATGCTACATGGCAGATTTAACCACCGCATAGTTCCTAATATGCATGCAGGACGTCTCTCTCATATCCTTTCTCATGCACCATGTCATGTCATATCACATTTCATATCTCCCGCACGCGGGCAGCGCCCAGCTCCCACACTCCATACGCACAAATAAGAGCAAGGGTACTGACTGAGCATGCCACGAAAGTTGAGGTCCATGTTGCGGCTCTCCGAGCGCAGCTTGATGGCGTCCAGCAGGTGGTCGGGGCTGAGCAGGCCCGAAGGCCGCACCACGTTCAGCATTTCCGTCAGCGTCATGAGCGGCAGCCGCACGGCCGCCATCACCTCCTGCGTCTCGCCGCTCTCGCTGCGCTGCCGGCACCAGCGGCACAGCGCCTGGAAGATCTCCCGCTCGCTGGCGGCGAACGAGTCGCGCCGCACCACCGTCAGCAGCGCCGTCTGTCAACGCAGAACAAGCGTCAGCTCTGCGCCGGGGCGCCGGCTCCCCTTAAGTCGTCACCTTGGAGAGCGCCAGGAAGCCGTCCGAGTTGAGCACGTCGGGAGCGTGCTTGTCCATGTAGGAGCAGCAGGCGGCGCCCAGCGCGCTCAGCGAGTACAGGCTGGCCACGTCGAAGACCAGGCACACGTTGCCCGTGTGCAGGACGGTGCGCAGGAAGTCAGAGGTGGAGTCCTCCAGCGGCTGCAGGCCGTAGCGGTGGGCCAGGCCCAGGAAGTCCAGCAGCACCTCCTCGCGGGCCGAGCTGAGACTGGCGCGGCCCGTGTACAAGTAGCGCAGCAGCATGGAGAAGGCCTCTGCCCGCGTCTCCTCCAGGCTCACCTCCGCCTGCGGCTGGGACTCCTTCATGCCACCGTACAACAGCGCCCTGCCGGATGCGCACGAACACGCAACAGTCAACTCGAGCGGGCCTTCAAGAGAATCCAAACAAGCATTCAACATTTCTTTTTTTTTTTTTTTTCAACAAACATGAACTTGAAACCTACTTCAACACTAATTAGAGAAGCGCTTTAACATGTGTTTCTTTTCATGACATATCAGTGTGTCCCGCATTGTCTTCAGTGACAATATGGCACAACAACCTGAAAAAACCTTTCACCGGAGAAAAAAAGTGTTTTGTACTTCCGTAACCAGCAATAGAACACAAAAACACCCTTTTCTGACCAAAAATCTTAGAAAAGGAGATTTCTATCAATAAAGCATCAAAACAAGACTGAGAAAGGGTTTTGATGATCACGTATTGACAGGTTTACAACTGCGGTCAACAACTAATCAATAATTGAGTGAACCTGTAATTGCCCAACAATTATTTTGATAAACAGTTAATGGTATCAAGACCTTGTTGAAATTAAAATTATTCATCTCCTCAGAATTTCAGCCTCTCAACAGAAAACACTATTTTGATGGATCGTCATCCATGAAAGCCGACCGTTTTTTTTTCCTTTTTGGCCAGGTGGCCGCTTCTATTTCGGAAATTAACAAACAATACTTTTGCCAATTTTTTGATTGATCTTATGGACGAAAGCAGTAAGTGAGGCCTTGTCAATTTATTATGCATTTTCTACACTTTCAATTTGTGTTACACAGTTGTTTGACATTATGCGGGCTGCTCCTTCCTACGTTCCAAAAACACCTGCAGCGCAAATATGGGTAAGCAGTCTCGAAGATGACTTGTTTGATATTTTTTTAAAAAATGGCTTCTCTGTAAGTTTGTTTTTTTGTTTTTTTTGTTTTTTTTTACTGAAAGGAAAGCTCATTAGTTGCAGGCACTACCTGAAGTAGTGGCAGCGCGCAGCCAGGATGACGCGATGCGCGGGGAAGCGCTTGCCCTCCACGATGAAGGTAACGTCGCTGTAGTCCTCACCCATCGCCAGCGTGCCCAGCTGCTCTGACAGCAGGTGGATGTGGTCGATCTCCGACACCGAAGCCGGCGGCCGCAGGGGGTGGCTGTTGTTGCTCATGCCGGTGTCGGGGCCCACCTGCCGACAGCGAGGCAGACAGCACAAGCGAATGGAGAAAAAGACAACAAGCTGGACAGGCTACTTTCATTTGAGGTGCCGAAAAACAGGTCTATGGCCTCCGTGGTTCAAAGTGGAGCCCCGCTGATCCACATTGTTGACACTCACAACAAGGTTGTAAACGGAGATGTGTAATGATTAATTGACAACTCATCAATTATCAAATTAGTCTACAAATGTTTTGACAACTGATTCATTTTCAGAGCCCCTTGTTCAACTTATTGACTGATTTCTGTAATTGTCTATGGTAGACTAGCCGGACTATTTTTGTGTTTTAATTGTTATTTTTATTATATCATATGCTTTTATTTATTTTTTAAACAATGCTCAACATTTTTGCTTATTTTCTGACTGACGTTACAGACCAAACCAGTAACTGAATCATAATCACACTGTCTGCTATTGCATTTTCTGCACTGTCCCTTTGGAATTGTATTGCGTATGAATAAAGCGATAGAAATGAATATATATATTTTTTGTAGCTGATTCGTCGACTAAATGAAAACAATCTACTTTTCGTTCTCTTCGCAAAATAATCCTTGTTTGATGTTGAATTGTTGAAGCATTACAAATAAGGTCGTGTTTAGATTTTGACAAACGAGACATTTGAGGAATAACTCATTTACATATTATCTGGAAAGCATGCTTGATAACAGCAGCAATACAGCAAATCCCCGAAGGGGAAGAACGCATTGAAACAATGTGGGCTCATCGATCACAAGCAATCAGAAATCTGACTTTTTTTTCTGGTTGGTGGGGGTTAATTGGAAGCCTTTATCAGCCAGCCTTGTCGTTAAAAATAAATTGCAACATAAATTCGCGGTTGTTGAAGGAGCTGAAGCAGCAGCGTTTGGTCGGTGTGTTGTGTCGGCACCGTTGTGGTTTGTCGGACAACGCGACTTGCGCCAAACGCCCTTTTCCGTTCATTGCCGCGAGTTTTACTCACCAAGCAGCTCGCACAAAAACTCTTCGAGTACTCAAAGACTCTTCCAAAAAGACCAAAAGAACAAAAAACGCTGACTAATTCTGCGCGTTTAAAGGAAAAGCCCCCAAATGTCCAACAACATCACAGCGGCCCAAAAGCACGTCCGGGTCTTGAGTAACTACTTCCGGTTCACAAGCGGCTCCTCCAAAGTAATTTTGTACACTTCACTTAATTTTAATTTGTTTTTTATTTCTCAGAAGGCGAGGCCCTTTTGTTACATACTAATTGTCTGCATAATTGTATGATAATATCAAAATTAAAATGTTTTTATGGGGGGGGGGGGGCTTATTTTAAATGTTTCGTCGTTTTAAAAATAACCGAAATAATCTTTTAAAGGATGCTGAAGCAAATACTTATTGTCATCATCGTGGGGTTTGACTGACACGCTCCACCTTGTATTTGCTATTTCATTGAATATTTTATGAAATAAACAGACACAAATACAAGTAGGTATTACTTTATTGTCATAATAAAGTTATCAAAGACTTTTTTGTTTTCAAATGTATTTGAAGGAGTGCTGCTTCTGTCCTGAGTGGAGTCATATGGCTTGGAAGACGGCCCCTATTCCAGGCCTTTTTTTTTTTTTTGCATGGGAGTGTTTGTGTTTTCATAGTCATAGGAACACGATGACGATGAGGACATCTTCATCCCGGCCTTGAAGTAGTTCTCTCGACATCTTCAATGACATCTTTATTACACTTTTTGACTTCAAAATAATTAGCAGCAGTTGACATGTTGATGTCTTTGATGAAGAATCTGATGATGACGAGGGTGGTGGTCCCCAAAGGGCTAACTAGTAGCGCTAGTAGTAACGACAGGTTTTCTTCCTCCATGGCGGAGGGGAAAAAAGCTCCGTAACAAAACTAGAATCTTTCAAAAGGGCATACACAAATATTTTATGTAAATTCAACCAGTTGGGAAAAAAAAAGTGCATCGGCGCAAGAGACAAAGTGCAAATGGGTCAGAGGCGTCCTGCTCTCTCAGTGCATTCAAAGATGAAGCCAAATTCACGCTATTGTCAATGTCGCAGATTATCTAATTATCTGAAGGTGCAAAGCCGCAACAGCTGCCTGAGGAGGAAATCACATGTTGACAAAGTCGACGGGCGAATTAGCCGTTTTCTTGGGCCATATCAGAAACAGAACATTCATGCTCAGGGAGTCGTTGAATGCGCGACTGCAAACGACATTGTATCCAAACGGGGAATTGCAGTAGACTAAGACGCAAAACTGTTTTCATATTTCATACTATTATTTTGAGTTCATTTCAAATAACCTAAACAGAGACTTAAGATAACATTGTTCAACAAGCAACCTGCAAATTCATGTCATGTGACTATTTTCGACAGACATTCATCTGACCAACATGAGCCAAAGTGTAACTAGATATATATCAGTGTTTCTCAGTTTGGTATCATGCCACCAGTAGTACGTGGGCTCCCTCTAGTGGTACATGAAAGAATAACTGCCTAAGTACAGTTCAACTGTATTTAACTTTTGAGTAAATTTGTAATCCATCTTTAATAACAGTTTGTTTTTAAAATTTCTGTCCGATATTTTATTGACCTTTTGTGTGCAATTAATTTTAATTGACACGATTTAAATAATTTTTTTCTTCTTATATTTAAGGAAAAGAAAATTACTTCTACTCAATCTATATACTATATTTCTTTCTTAAATTTTAATGTTGGTCATGATGGACAGCAAAGTACTGAGCTGATATTTGGTGCGCTGGAAAAACTGACATATTATAAATATAGTATTTGTTTTAGAAATCAGATTTTTTTTTCAATAAATAGATAAAATGTAGTGAGGGTATTTACTGGATATTTTACGCTAAAAATTATCGAGATACACATCGAACCTTAACTTTGGTGTATCGTCAAATTATCGAAGGGCCTGAAGCGGCAACGGCTGTCAGCAAGGAACAGGCGGCTAAATTTCAGCTCCACCGTTACGGCATAAGCTAAACTCGCCCTGTGATTCAACTTTGCGGTCACGCTTGACTTTCAACCTGCAGAAGCGACTTAAGGTGGTTGCTCGATAGTTCTCGACTTTTGAGTTTTGGACTCTGGTTCTTCCGGACCCAGTGGCTGGGGGGTTTGGGCAGGATGCTTGGCGAGGGCGGCTCACTAAACCTGGCGCCGGCGTAGACTTTCTCGCCATCGTGTTCTTTGAGGCGCTCGGCCGCGTTCTTGGTGTTGGGAACGTTGCTGCCCCTCTTCTTGCGTGGGGCCTGGCCACAGTCCGGGTTATGTCGCTGGGCGATGTTGAGTTGCTCTTGTTTCAGAAGCATGCGGGTCGCCGAACAAGCCGGCTGCGCGGATCCTCGCTCCAGCCAACCGCATTTGGACCTCAGCAGCTACAGCAAAGAAAAAAATATAACATTCTCAACTCAACTCAACTGTATTTATAGAGCACTTTCAAACAGCCATCGTTGCATACAAAGTGCTGTACATGGAGAAATTCAACATAAACAACAAACAGTAAAGCAAACCATTAATAAAGATGGTAGAAAGCACCGAACAGTAAAACCAAGAACAAATCTAAGTCATGCTGAGTCAAATGCCAAAGAATACAAGTGAGTTTTGCGGCAGGTTTTGAAGATGGGCAGCGAGGAGGCTTGCCGAATGTTCAGTGGGAGGTCATTCCAGAGAGAGGGACCAGCAACAGAAAAGGCTCGATCCTCTCTGAGCCTCCGTTTAGTTCTTGGTACTTCTAATAATGTCTGGTCCGCAGACCTGAGGGGTGTGTAGGGGCGGGAGCTCAGAGAGAGGTAAGGTGGCGCGAGGTCATTTAGAGATTTGAAAACAAATAAGAGGATCTAGAAAATAACTCAAAAATGTATGGGGAGCCAGTGAAGGGATGCCAGAGTAGGAGTTATGTGCTCCCTCTTACGAGTACCAGTCAAGAGGCGAGCAGCGGCATTCTGGACCAGCTGGAGACGCTTAATGGAGGACTGGCTGACTCCAAAGTAAATGGGCATTGCAGTAATCGAGCCGGGATGTGACAAAGGCATGAATAACTGTCTCAAAGTCTTTCAACAATCAATGAGATTTGGTTTTTATTGAGGGTACATTTCAATGACAAATTAGGTCATGTTTCACTAATGAGGGAGATGACGCATCGCAGTAATCAGTGTGAGGTTTTTTTTAATTATTAATTAGGTCTCGTTTCGGTTATTATATGGATTTCTAGTGAATGGTGAATGGTGAAACTCCTTCTCATACTAACTTTTAACATGGCCAATTGGCCATTATTGATTTGGACATGGACTTGACGTGACCTGACAACGACATTCCAAATGAGTTACCTCTTTTTTGGTAATGACGGCTGACGTCCGACCGGGCTGCCCCGAAGCGGATAGGCCGGTGCTCTGCTGCTGCGGGTTGTTGTTGTTATTGCGGTGGTGGTGGTTGGACGAGGGGGGGCTTCTCGGGGGGTTCTGCTGGTGATGGTGCAACGACGGCGGCATCTTCTTCTTCTTCCTCCTTCTCCTCCCCCTGTTCGTCGTTTTCTTTTTTTTCTTCTTGACGTTCGTCAGCTTCGTCGCACCACCGGCATCTCCTTCCCCGCTCGCCGCCGTCGTGGTGGTGTTGTCGGCGTCGCCGACCCGAGGTTGCTCGCTGCGGGTTGTCGAGTCCATCGTCGTCGGCAACCGTCGAAAAACATCGACGAACTGGGGGAGCAATTGAGCACTTCCGGGTTCTTCCTCCCAATTCACAGCGAGCTCTCACGCTCGCTTGCTTGACGTCACAGACTGTCAGGAATCGATAAATCTATCTATCTCTCTCTCTCATATATATATATATATATATATATTTTTTTTTTTATATACGCTGCTGTCATGTAAATCCTGGTGTCACAGTTTCTCTTGGCGCGATGTCATGTTATCATTTGTTCAAGTATACTTTTAAGGAATAAAACTGCTGCCTCATTTGAGATGAACATGAATTACTACAGGCGTACTATCCTGCTATTTGTAAAGGCCATTATGGTGATACGAGGAGAGCCCAAAATGTTTTGAGTGATTGTTGCAAAATGTTTGGGAACGACTGATTTAGAACAAAACACAGTTTGAATCGTGACTTTTAACAAAATTTTCATTGTCACATCAATGTGATTTGTCCATGTATTTGTTTACTCTGTCACAAGGAACAACACAACAACTACTTACTTCTGTTTTATTTCAGAATTGTTTTTCTTAGTCGTCATTTTTCTGTAATTTACAAATTATAAAATTCTGAAAGCAGACCGGAGTTCCTGTGATATTCACACATGGGTATTTGTGCTGACCAAAAACTCCATTTGAACTGAATAAAGTTCATTTACTGTATAGGTATCAAGTTTTATTTCCATTTGTGGCAGTAAGAAGTTAAAGGCTCAAGTCATTGATCACTACCACGTAGTTGTGTTTGAGCAGATGGCTTCACTGTAAAATGTCAAAAAAAAAAAAAAACACATCAAGCACCCACAAACAAACGGAACACAGTTTGCGCACGCTTAGCAAGCGCAAACAGTACGGTATCGAAAGAGCTAACGAGAAAGAGAAAATAATAATAATACTGTACCAACCTATGTACATCGTTTCATAATTTATATTCACCACTGTAGCGGCCAGTCTTGAGTGAATCAATAACATTCCGTCTTTTTCAGACACACGTTCTGGTAGGTACAACGAAACTGTCGTGGGGGATCTAAAGCTTCTTGTTCTTAGTATAGCCCATAAAATCAACACCTGGTCCAAACAGGAAGTGATCACCCAGTTTTGCATGAGCATCAGAGACAGCTCTTTGTACACAACTGTGGGCCAAAGTGTTTGCATCCCACATATCCACCTCTAGTCTCCAACAATCAACAATCTTATATACCATGCTAAATGACACGTTAATTAGGTTCCTCCCCCAACTCAGGGCCCAAGCTGGTGTATGCTACAGATGGTTCCAAGACTCGCTGACTGGGCTGGAGGGATTCACTGGGACGATGGTTGACTGTGTTCCTGAACTGCTTGTATACTCGGGGGTCCTGGACCATATAGGTGGATGTAGAGGAATAAACCACCAGGCCCAAGATAATTAGGATGAATGACAGCAAATAGAGGCAAGAAAACTGCAATACACAAGCACAAACACACATTTTTAGGTCAATCACTTTTTACCCTGAAACACTTGTCTGAAATGTTGGAAAACAACCATGAACATTCATCAAACCCAAACTATGGACCATCATAACCTCTCCTCCATCCATCCATCCATCCACCCATCCATCCATTTTCTAATCCGCTTATCCTAGGAAGGGTTGCGGGTGTGCTGAAGCCTATTCCAGTTGTCTTCTGGTAGTAGTGTTGCGGGTGTGCTGAAGCCTATTCCAGTTGTCTTCGGGCAGTAGGCGGAGGACGCCCTGAACTAGTTGCCACCCAATCGCAGGGCAGACAGACGAACAACCATCCGCGCTCGTACTCACACCTTGGGACAATTTAGAGTGTTCAATCAGCCTGTCATGTATGTTTTTGAAATGTGGGAGGAAACTTGAGTACCCGGAGAAAACCCACACAGGTAGATGGAGAACATGCAAACTCCACACAGGAAGGCCGGAGCTGGAATCGAACCCTGCACCTCTGCACTATGAGGTTGACGTCCTAACCAGTCCACCACCGTGCCGCCCAACTCCTACATACTCTACATATAAACTACAAGTTTATACATGTAATGTTAATACTGTAACATTTTAACCTTATTAACTGCTGTACAAGCGTAAAAATATGGTAAGCACTGTAAATGTAATAATGACCCGAAAAAAATAAAAACATCTAAATTCTTAACTGGCGGCCCGGTGGTCCAGTAGTTAGTGCATCGACCTCCCAGTGAAGAGGTCGTGGGTTCGATACCGTGTGGGGTTTGCATATTCTCCCCGGGCCTACGTGGGTTTTCTCTGGGTACTCCAGTTTCCTCCCACATTCCAAAAACATGCATGGCAGGCTGATTGGACACTTGAAATTGTCCCTCAGTGTGAGTGTGAGCGCGGATGGTTGTTGGTCTCTGTGTGCCCTTCGATTGGCTGGCAACCGGTTTAGGGTGTCCCCCTCCTACTGCCCGAAGACGGCTGGGATAGGCTCCAGCATGCCCCGTGACCCTTGTGAGGATAAAGCGAGATGGATGGATGCATGGATGGATGAATTCTTAACTCATGGCACGGTCATTTTGTGACAAATAAGATAATAGCTGTACATAAAAAACAAAACACGCACTTTGTGATGCAAAAATCTCACTGCTTTGAATGTAAATTTGCTTCAAGCATGAGCACAGACAAGACAAACAGGACGATTTGGAGCCAAACTCCTCATTTGGTTGTCATTTGGAATGGCTTGATGGAAGCCCACACATTATATATTTATTTATAAAGAGAAAATCCACCAATTAAAAAAACTCTCATAAAAAGCATGTCGAATAAATTCAAATTCAACACCAAACAACGACATTATCGCTTATAACCTACAAGATGATGACTTCATTCTCCCTTCATTTTGAGCCCGAACATGCTACCTTCAAAAATAATGCTTTCATTGTCCGATGGAGTCTCACAATTCCATTGATCAAAGTCTTGATGAAAAAAAAAAAAGATTTGCACAAAAAAAAAAATAAAAAAAATTCAAAAGAAAAATCTGGACCAGGCACATGACTGACAATGAAACCAAATCCAACACCTGTTACCTTATAATGAAAGAGGAAATGACCACACAAGACACTGTACAGGTCAGCTGTGAGCAGAGAGAGATTGATCGAGGCAGCACTCGTCCTCTTCATCACCAGCGGCATGAAGCTGTACAGGCTGAACATGAAGGCACTGAAGCCCACATAGAGAAGACCTGTGACGCAAACAGAGATTTGTTGCACATCCTTTACGCGCAGCGTTTTGAAAAATCCAACAGAGCCAAAACTTGCCGATCTGCCAGTCCCAGGGAACCTTCAGCAACTCCTTGTGTTCCATTATGGCCCTGCAAGCCAACAGACAGACTCATGGCATCCGCTTACTGATGCCATATATGCACACCGTATTTTCCGCACTATAAGGCGCTCCTAAAAGCATTCAATTTTCTCAAAAGCCGACAGTGCGCCCTATAATACGATGCGCCTAATATAAAGAGAATGCAAACATTCTATTCCTCAATGAGTTGTTTCGCTGTTAGTGTTCCGATGCCATCGAGTGGTGATTATTAGCAGGAACCAATTGTAACCTAAAAGAGTTCTGCCTGACACTAATTGACATGTGCATTCGCAAACACACGCTCAAACAGACAAACTACTTTGTGAGCTCTGAGCAGCCATTATGAAATGATGATAATACCGAAAGCATCGTTAACTACTGACTCAACGAAGGAAGAAGGAGACAAGCAAGACTTCTAAGGATATTTAGCCCCTTGTCGATGTGAGCCCATGAAATTTGTGTGCCTTTTTGTTGAATCAATTGTCTTCATCACTTTTGTCTTTCATTTATAGTTTTGTAATGGATTTATGTGTTCGATTTTTCACGTCCGTGTTTGTGACCAGTTCTCATTGTGACAGCTGCAGTGGTTGTGAAGGCTCTATATAAATAAAGGTTTATTGTATTGGATTGGATTGGATTCCCTTTAGTGTCACACCATCTAGTGGATGTACAGTGCAACCGCAGCCACTATTGCAGCTTATGCGCCTGACAATGCAGTGCGCCTTAGATATGAAAACAGTTTTAAAATAGGCCATTCATTGAAGGTGCGCCTCATACTCTAAAGCACCTTATAGTGCAGAAAATACGGTAAATATTATTTTCTGCCTATTCTGAAAATGTGTGAGTTGTTTTCTGCCCAAAAGTGTAGTTTCTCTCACAAAAGGTAAAGGTAGCAAAAAAAATCAAGAAATGTTTCATCGTGAAAAGAGATGACATTGGAACTATGTACCAAAAAATAGGGCTTGAATTTTGTTCTCAACATGTGCATGTCCATCTGTTGCATCACAGAATTCTGTGTCATCATTTCATCTGCCGCAAAGACAGACATGCTCGTTCTGCTCACTTCCTCTTCGGGTGGGCATGGGCGACGAGCGGCCCCGCGGGCCACCTGCGGTCCATACCCATCGTCAGGGAGGCCCTCGATTAAGTTTTGAAAATATTGTAAACATGTTTTCGTTTGCGGAATAGTTATGAATTGTAGTAACAGTGTTCACCACAAGATGGTCGACATCGTTAAAGAATGCCTCCATAAATCCAGGACCAAATCGTCATGATCCTGGTCTTGTGTGTCTCCAGCAGGTGGCAGACAAGAGCCATCCCTTCAATGTGCATAATCGTCATTAGCCATGTGTTTAAGGACTGACCAACTGCCTGCAGTTTGTCGGATTATTGACCTCGTGGCTGCTCGTGCTCAAGTGTTGTTTTTCTATACCTCTCATTCTCCACACGAATCAAGAGAACGACACTCAAGTATTTTTGTTCGACTCATGTCCAAAGCACTTTTAGTCTACAACAGTGGTTCTTAACCTGGGGGTTCGGTGAATTGGTCTCAGGGATTCGACGGAGCCTCTGCCATGGAAGTTAAAAAAACACACCCGACTCAGCATGTCAATTAGTTATGACACGCCTGCTTGGCCATCACTGGCTACAGATGATCACATTACATTGCTTGTACAATCAGTGCTGCGGGAAATTTAGTTCGTTCAGTAGTCACCGTGTGACTGTCGTGATACAGTGAAACTCCTCTACAACGGAATCATGTTTGCAGCAAGAAATTTTTCACAACAGGGGGTTTTTCACTGTAGCAAATTTGATCTCAGATGTAAACACACACACACACACACACACACACACACACACACACACACACACACACACACACACACACACACACACACAGATTTCGTATAACGCAACGTTTTTTTTTTCCGTTGTATGGGGGCAGGAGAGTGGGAATGGTGTTAATGCATGAAGACTTTTCACACTACGGGGTATTTTCGCCCATGTAGGTTTCGTTGTAGAGGAGTTTCACTGTACTATGGCATACAATTTTTAAAAAACTATATTTTGGCCATGTAATTTACTTTTTTCTCAATAAATGTGTTTTTTTAATGTCTTGAATTTGTAAAAAAAAAAATCACATTTTCATTTTTCACTCATGAATGGTTCGTTGAACGTGCATATGAACTAGTTGGGTTCAGTGCCTCTAACAAGGTTAAGAACCACTGGTCTAGACTAGATCATTGATGAGGATTATGACATTTACATTATGCATGATTGTATATATGGAGGAGGTGGGGTTCCGAAGTTGTACTATCCTTATTGACTTACAGTTGGATGCCACTGAAAAATGACCCAAAGAGACCAATCATGCCCAGGAACTCCACACGGCTCAGGTTCTTCACGATGAACTCCTCACAGACATTGGAGATCCCATACAAAGTTGCTCCCCCCAAAACTAACAGATCACCAAACAGCTTTTGTTCCCCTAGACAGAAGAGTATGAGGAAAATCTGTTATTAATTATGCATGTTATTTTTGCTGTTATCATTGATTGTTTTTGTTTTTTTTTAACTGGAATAGCAATCGCTCTTTTGTTGAATATAATTGAAAATGGTGAGCCCTCAGAAATCAAACACATTGTTTTCCAGGAGGCATGCGTTCATTTTGGAGTCCATTTTCCCCAGGATGAAATTTAATTAGGCCATTTCAGGGTTCAAAGACAGCCCTCTATTTGTCCCACGGCGGAGAAATGCATGCATCGCTGCAGCTATTTTCTGCGGCAACGTATGCATGACATAAAATAAAAGCATACAAGAATTGTCGAAAGAAAGGAGTTAAAAAAAATCTAAAAGGTTCCTCCTTAACCATCAAACAATATAGTGGAAATGCTTTTATCCAATTCTACCGTATGTGAAAGTTGGTTGTGCAAAACTACCATTATCCAACAACAACATTGTGATTACGGAAAATACTGAGTGGTTTGCAACCCTGGGAGACCACGAAGCACTGTGGGCAAAATACTGAATGTCAATCCCTGCTGAGCATCATGAACCCTTTCAGGGACAGCGGTTCCAACTGTGGACAGCTTATCATGTTATCATTATTGGTGCATGAAAGGGTTCAAGTTAACCTTTTTTTTTTTTAAATTAGTCGCAAACAACAGTGCGCTATGTATCAATAGTTGCACGATAATAAAGATATTGTCAGCAGCTCCGTGAAAAAAAAAATTAAATAAATCATGACTGATAAAATCAAAGCAAAAAAACAGGTGCGTTGATACGGCGTTTGTGAGTTCACTCACCGAGAGCCTGCTGAGGGCCAAGTAGGATGTCAGCCCCCACCATGCACCCAATACCCATAAGACACAGTAATGTGCCTACAACGTGGATGAACTTGTATCTCACCAACAGAAAGAACCAGGACAGCAGTAGGACCACTGGGATGACAAAGCAGTCTAACAACTGAGAGAAGCAGAAGAACAAAAAAAAAAAAAAACGAGAGAGTGAGAGAAATACTAAAAGCACTGATGATGTAAGCATCATTGGTCTCCAACTGTGCCACTGTTAACGTGAATAAGAGGAACCGTTTTAATTAGCGGCAAATCAACTCAATTGTGTTCATGGCCACGAAATGCCTATTTTTAACTGTGCTAAACGATGCACATACGCGAAAAAAAAATACCAAAACCTAGTCCAGGGGTCGGCAACCCAAAATGTTGAAAGAGCCATATTGGACCAACGCCCCCCCAAAAATAAATATGTCTGGAGCCGCAAAAAATTAAAAGCCTTATAATGAAGGCAACATATGCTGTACGTATGTATATTAGCTATACTACTGTAGCCTACTATCAAAATGACTACGTTGGCTACAAATGCACAATGAGCCTTCGTGATGAAATGTTTTTTTTTTTTTCCCTGAAGTGCCTGCCTCCTGTAGAGCAGGGGTGCCCAACCTTTTTTGACGGAATATCTACTTTTCGATCAACCAACCTCTTGCGATCGACCCTATACCGCACACGCGCGCATACGCACGCACTTACACACGCTTGCCAGAACGAGCAACAGCCATAACGGCCGCTAAGATGAACGAGGCATGGGACGCACTTTTGCAGCGGGTTAACTATCGTAGCTCATGCGTACCGTTTAAAAATCCTTCTCTTGGCCCTCCAGATTCCCATTTTTTTGCCAGTACCCGCCATTTTTTTTTTTTTAACAACAGCCACCTGCCTGGCATCACGTCCTGCGAATAGAAATGTGTGTCGCAGGCTCTGACACAAATCTTCATTGAAAGAAATGTTGACAATTAATATTTATTCCACACATTTTTACAGCATTGGAAAACGTTGAAAATGTTTATGTCGTCTTTGTCCTCCTACCGAAACCATATTAAAACAAAAATTATACGATATCCTGGCCCATCTTTTTCTACTTTCAAACATTTTTGAAAAAGCTCTAGGGAGCCACTAGGGCGGCGCTAAAGATTCAATTAAAAAAAATTCTTTTCCTTTCCATTCATTCTTAAGGCTTTTTTAAAAATCTGAGTATAACAATTTGAAATTGACAATTGACTCTGTCGGACAAATGGAAAAAGGAAGCACTACATTAACCCTTTCGGGGACAGCGGTCACTACAGTTTATCATATTATCAGGTTTCAGGATGCATGAAAGGGTTCAATTTAATCTGGACTATTTGCGTTATTGTGCCTGTAAAAACGTCATACGTCGATGCAAATTGCTGTTGTATAATCAATGAACTGTAGCGTGTCCTCCAGAGCATAGCAACACAGAAATAGTCGGAACTTTTGTTCAAACAACAACTTTAAACAACTCTTCAAGAAATACTGTAGCTTTTATCACTCGGCTATAAATCACCTTATCACCAAATGGATGCTCCTCCGGAGAGCATTATTGAATTTTTTTTTCTCTCCCTGGAAAGCTGCGCCAGTAACATTGGGAAATGCCACATCAATCTGATTCTTGCAGTCAACCAATACAAATGCAAATACCTGCACGCTGGACAGTGTGGTGTATTGGTAAGCTTTTAGTATCAGGTAGTTGGCTTCGATGTCTATGAAACCTAAAATCATGTACTTCCACCAGCGCTGCTTCAGAATGGCCAACAAGTTTCCTTCACCTGGTGAGAGAGACACACACACACACACACACACACACACACACACACACACACACACACACACACACACACACACACACACACACACACACACACACACAAACGAGTGGGAAAACCGAAGCATCCATCATAAATAGCCATCAATGAACAGTCATTCCATTTTAAATGGAAGAATCTAACTTTTTTTTGAGGGGGGAGGGGTTACAAGCAGTCTTGAGACTTACATAATCATTTTAATTGATGAAAATGTAAGCTTATGTTAAATTATTAATTATTTTCATTTTATATTTGAGCATTATATTCTTTTATGTTATAGTTATCTAAATTATATTCTGTTTCATCATTGTTGAAACATTCTTATGTTGCTTGCGTCTGATTGGCTAAGGAGAACCAGGAAGTGAAAGGGGGGTGTGTTCTCGTTCATCCATTCGGAGGTGCAGATGTTTTTTTTTCTTTCTCCTTTTAATAAACTGCATTAAAGGATTCCATCTCTCCTTTTGTCATTCGTAAAGAAGAGCCATCCACTAAAAAACAACGAACCCCTCAACTTACAAAATTAACGAGTAAACACAATATTTCTGCAGTGTTACCGCATCACACCGTAACGGCCAATGAATGATGGGCCATTTGAAATCACTGTGTGTGCATCTGCTTACCCTGTAGAGCAGATGCACACAGCGGTCCCCAACCTTTTTTTACCCCACGGACCGGTTTAATGTCAGACAATATTTTCATGGACCGGCCTTTAGGATGTGGCGGATGAATACAACAAAATAATTTAATGTGACCTGCATGAAAACTGTGATATTCTGTAAACATAATAAACACGAATCATGACACGAGGAACGTCCTATCTGGCCTCAACGCTCTCTGGTCGCTATGGTAACGTTAAAACGTGCCTTCAAAATAAGACACACCGCAGATAAAAAGTCCATGAAAAATACGACCTTGGTGCGTGGGAATCTCCGTTGAGATAAATCCGTATTTTAGGTGTCATGTTATCAAATGAGGCACACGTGAGTCCAGCTGTCGTATTAACGTGGATAACTTTTATTTAGCTTTCCCGATGCTTGTATTCTCTCTCTAGTCACTCTCTCTGTCTCCCGCTCTCGACGCACACCATGACGTAGTCGCCCCGCGACTCTGTCGTCATGTTGTACACGATTACACCACATTAGGTAGGATTCCTGATACTGTCTATTAAATGTAGACTTCTTTTTCTTGAAAATCGTCGGCTCCTCTGCTGTCTCCCGGCTTCGCTTTATTTTAGCGGTAACCTATCACGTGACCGACAACCGCGCGTCAAGAGTGACATATTTTAGACGGATGTAAGAGAGAATCCGGTAATTTTTCAAAATAACACATCATTTAGATATCGAAATGAATAAAAAGGAAGTAATGTAAGTTATTCATCCTTTCTGTGCGGCCCGGTACTAAATGACTCACGGACCGGTACCGGTCCGCGGCCCAGGGGCTGTAGATGATGCTAATATGCCAATTTCCAAGCGGTGTACATAGGAACTATAGTTAAAATAAAAAAGAGATGTTGGACATACTCTTGGGATTTTAATATGTAGTTCCACACTGTTACTACACGTGTTGTAAATGTTTTCTGAGCAGCCGTTACACCAAGAGCCGCAAATAGGCACAAATATTTGTTTTTCTTCCATTTTTAGTTTTTTTTTTTTTTTTTTTTTTTTTTTTAGGTGGGTATATCCAGGTGTTCCCATGACACATTTTCAATAAACCATCTAAACGCACGTTCTGTGTGTACCTTGCCTGACCGCCAGCGTGGTGGTGTAGACCAGAAACAGCAGGATGTAGTTAAGAAAACTCTGGAACACCGGCGTGTTAGCATGGAAGTCATCAGCCAGGTATTTGCTCGTCAGGCCGATGGCACAGATTAACCAGGACAGGACTTGACCGAAGGCCAATGTCACCAGCAGGTCCCTGCGGGGAACAGAAGACATAAAGACTCAGACCTTCTTGTTTTATGGTGGCTTATGTGCTTTTTTTTTGGGGGGGGGGGGGAAATTGAATCCTAAAAAAAAAAAAAAAGACATGCAATTTGTATTGTCTGCCAGTGTGACGTCTTCTAACAAATTATGTGGGCTGTACAGCCTACAATTTAGTACAGCGATGGGCACTTCATTTTATTTGTTGTGTCAACGCTAAAGTGCAGTCCCGCGTGTTATTCGGGGCATCTGAGGTATTATTCTCCACATTGCCTTGACAAATTCAAAATGTGAAGTTCAACCAAAACATCATGATGGCTATTTTCACCAATCCTAGAATTCTGACAGGTCCCCAAATCCACATTTTCGCAGTACAGCCCCCCTGCCCCCCTCCGCCTCCACATTCAAATTCAAATATTAAGACATTTCCTCCTCCTTCCTCATTATTCTCTTCTCCTTCCACATTTCACGACTGATTCAAACCATTCCAACTTCAAAGCCTACGTTGTCTTTGGGGCAGTAGGCTGGGTAAAACCTGAACTGGTTGCCAGCCAATCGCAGTGCATACACACAAACAACCATTCACACTCACACCTATAGGGACAATTTACATTGCTTTATTAATTTACAATACAGTAATCCCTCGCTACTTCGCGGTTCGTTTATCGCTGGTTCAGTGCATCGCGGATTTTTTTCAAACATATAAATTTTTTTATTTTATTTTTTTTACATATACATGGAGTACAGTACTATATATGTTGCTCTATGTGACTCGCTGTTGTTTTGCAGCTTCTCGCGGACCGTTTGCGGACTTTAAATTTTTTATTTTTTTATTTTTTTTTAATCTGTTTATGTTAATTGCACGCTATTTCGCGGATTTTCGTTTATCGCGGGTGGTTTTGGTCCCCATTAACCGCGATAAACGAGGGATTACTGTACATGTTTTCGGAATGTGGGAGGAAACCAGAACACCACACAGGCACGCTTCTCTCTCTCTCTCTCTCTCTCTCTCTCTCTCTCTCTCTCTCTCTCTCTCTCTCTGTAGAAAATAAGTACTGTATATGGAATTAGTAGAAAAAATGTAAGATTATAATCTCTGCACCAATAAACATTGCTGCCTTCGCGTGTGTACAGCAGGTCAATTGTTTTCCATAAGACTCTTCATCTTTGCTTGGATTGTGACAATTGATGTTAAAGGAGGACTTGCTTTTTGTATCCATTGAAATTACTTCCACGTTACTAATTCCACACGTGCACGCGCGCGAGTACATTCATTGCCACGGGCCTGATATGATGATCTCAAACTCAGCTTGCAGCCTGTCCAACAGCCTGAGGACAGACAAGAGCAGCCAGGGATAAAAGAGCAGATGGGAAGAAAGTGGCAGAGGCTGCGCGTGTCTTTGGGATACGCGTGGTCTCGGCCATGCAGGTTGCGCTCGTGCAAGTGTTCGGAAACAAGTTTGCACGTCATGAAATGAACGAGCGAAGACAGCGGCCGTTTTTTTTTTCTTCCCCCACAACCAAAAGGGGCAGGTTGACGACCCGAACAAGGAGAGACCGCTTATACAAGCGTGCGCTTGAAACACCTGAACCTCACGCGCGTGATGTGACGTCCGCGCAACGCGTCTATGTTAACATCTGTTGCACGGGCCGAACCTTTGCAGTCGAAAGACGTGACAGGTGATGTTACAGGTTGAAACAAAAGAAGCGTCCGCATTGATGAGCGGCTGCTCGGCGCGGAGTGGATGTGAAAGGATGCTCGTTCTGGTCTTGTCTTACCTGTTCAAGATCTTTCTGATCCGCTGGTACACGCTCGGTGCCGGGGTCCCCGTGCCCCTTGGAAGGCTCTCCACAGTGGACACGACGGAAATCATCGTTGCTCGAGCGAGAGGAGCGATCAGCACATTTCTGCTTCGTGGAGAGAGAGGAAGGCGGGAGAAGACGGGCAGTGGCCTCGAGGAGGAGGAGGAGGAGGAAGGAGGAGGAAGAAGAGCCTCCTGTGCCCTGTGTTGAACGTTGAAGAGCTCAGTCAGATGATGTCCAAGTGGTCCACGCCGGTTTCCAGGATTCCAAGCGCCCGTTTTGAAGCCGCAAAACGAGAGACTGGACCTGTGCGGACGGTTGAAGATTTTCACCACTAGGGGGCGCCCTTTTACGCGGTGGCGCTCTTGGAGGACAGCTGGAAAAGTACATCCTTGTAAAATACAAGAGAAACCGAAAAGATGTTTCATCATCTCGTCGTATTATTACAAAACAAAATTGATGGATTACTCGTTTTGAAATCAGTCAAGTATTTGTGTGTTGTTTGTTCAATTATTGTTCAAGTGAGCGTAAACAGGACAACATAATTATTGCAAAATCTCGACTTTATTTATTACACATGACAATTTTGACATTTCGGGACAGATTTTCGCAATCCTCATCAAAGTTGACACACATGATTTGCTTCTGCGGGCCACAAAAAAATGACGTGGCGGGCCGGATCTGGCCCCCGGGCATTGAGTTGTGGTTTATACAAACGTACAGCCAACGGTGAAGTTAGTATGTTGTTATTTATTTCGTTGTTGTTGTTTTTTGAAATAAAAGGACATACAGTAGAGGAAACCGGGCTTTTGTGTCACTTCTTCGTTTTTTTTTTTTTTTTAGTTTTAGATATTTCTTGATATAAACAAAACATGTACACAACATGACAGCTTTTCTCAATGGAACGCTTTGGCATGGCAGTCCATTGACATGGACCAAATTGTTGGCGCCACCCCGTTAATGAAAGAAAACTTCACAGCGGTCACTGAAATAACTTGAAATTGACAAAAGGAATCCATGGAAATGTACTGAAAATTAGACATTGTTTTAAAATCGTGTTTCAACAGAATCGTTTTGAAAAATTCATGAAACAGGCCGGGATAACATCACTTTCGAGCTAATCACTGCGATGACAAATTCCATATTTCCGATTTCACGTTTTGCCAGATGTACAAAAAAAAAAAAAACTCGACAGTGGCTTCAACAAAGATGGATGGGGCAACCCAACACTGATGTACCTTGACCTTGACGTTCGCCTTTAATTTCTTTGGAGGTTGTTAGTCTCAGTGGTTACCGTTCGTATTATTCATCTCATCAGTTTGTCATCCATTTTTGGCCTGCGGTCGAGTCCAAGGAGGTTGGCTCTTCAGTTTCGAGAAACAAGTATGCAACTGTTACAAGAACATCAAGTTGTTTGAATGGTCGTGGCCTTGAGGTTTAAAATGCTTGGGAAAAATATTTCTTTTTGATCTGAGACAATGCTCACCTTCACTTTCTATGGTCCATGTTCAGTGCAGTACATACCATGTCGCCAACCAGCACACTGACTACTTTGTCACCGTTTAAATACGCAGGGTGACTGATGACAAGCTGTCACCTTATCGTCATTTTTAATCCAGCCTTGTTTCATTGGTTAATTTTTTTAAAATGATTCTGTTGAACTGCAGTTCAACGCAACGTATTATTTTCAATGGGTAATTTTCAACACTTATTTCATACTGGAATCAGTTTAAAGTGTGATTCGGTGACCATTGTGTTTCCATATTATGAACACGGGTTTCCAGAAAATGTGTTGGTGTATAAACAGAAACATACGGAGACACCCACACAGTTCATGTTTCCTTTCCAGTTTTTTTTTTTAGGTGCACTACAAATTGAGTTAAGATGAGCTAATGTACCACCTGCCGAGTTGACTTCAATACTGATCTCTTTGCGTGATGACGTCACATCTCATCGCTATTTTTGAAGAAACTCTACAAGAGCCACTTTTGAGCAAGAAAATACAATTCCATGGTACCCATTTTAATTGAGAATTTATTTTATATGAAAAATATGCGGCGGCCCGGTATACAGTGGTTAGCGCGTCGACCTCACGGTGCAGAGGTTCAATTCTAGCTCCGGCCTCCCTGTGTGGAGTTTGCATACTCTCCCGGCCTGCGTGGGTTTTCTCTGGGTACTCCGGTTTCCTCCCACATTCCAAAAACATGCACGGTAGCCTGATTGAACACTAAAAAATTGTCCCTTGGTGTGAGTATGAGCGCGGATGGTGTTGTTCGTCTGTGTGCCCTGCGATTGGCTGGCAACCGGTTCAGGGTGTCCCCCACCTACTGCCCAAAGACAGCTGGGATAGGCTCCAGCACCCACCGCGACCCTTGTAGGATAAAGCAGATCGGAAAATGGATGGATGAAAAATATCGCCATATCTTTGATTTCACGGTTGACTACACACAATTTTACCCATATAAAGTTTGTTAATATAAAGCCCTATTTTAGGTATATTTTATATAATTTTGAACACAACTGTATACCTTCTAAAAGTGTATTTAGAATTAGAAAAACACAAGCAATATTCAAAAACAAACAAACCAAAAAAAAAAACAGTGCATTTCTTTATTTCAGCCGTCTGGTCAGTCAAGGTGGAGCCTTAAGTAAAAATGATTTGACACGATGACTTGGAGGGGGAACACACAGAGTCATATGAGCTTCTTGAAATGACACAATGAATCACTCTGTCCCCTCGCGCCACTTCCTCTTACGATTTGAATTTTATTGACGGACTCTCTAAATTTAAGCTCAATTTCAGCAGTGCGGCACAAAGCCCGGTTTCAGATTCTGCTGCTGCTTCGGAGTCAAGTTCTCAGGGACAAACAGCAGCTGGAAATTGAATGCCAGGACTGAGAGAGACACACAGAGGACAGACGGTCCTCTCATCATGTTGGTATGTGTCACGGAGGGCTATTTTCCCTTGGCTCAAAGAACATGCTGCAGAGGTCCTAGAATTTCAGTTTATTGTGGTACAAGAGCTGGTGGCAGGAAGTGAGCGATCATCTCTGACTCCTGGCTTTGTTCACTGTCTCGGTGATCCAGGAGAAGCCCTGCGTGTTGTTCAGAGCGGGTTCAAGTCATGACGGAGAAATGAATGGTCGCAGTCTTACTCAGGCCTCCCTCGTCTTGACAGTATGAACCCCCCTGAACGTGTCTTTTGTGATTCAATCGAGGCCAGCCTGCACGTCACTGGCCCAGGCGCTGCTGGCATGCGCAATAACGCTGCAGGGCGCCCCAGAAGTCCTCATAAGAGATGTTTCTGTGCGACGGCAGGGAGCTGAAAACAAAGAACGACACTTAGAATACAGGAAAACGTATGCAGAAACAGTTCGCAAGTATTTGCGAGGCAATATGCGAATTTATGTGTTGGCTTTACATAACTCAAAAATTGATTTTCAATAAAAATAGTCAAAGTTGACATGTAGACTTTCAGCTATAATTTAAGGGGGTTTCATAAACGTCATGTACCATGAAAGAATTACAACCACTTTATGCCTGACTCCAAGTTTATTATTTGGACCGAGGACCAAAGGAACCATTACCATTATTTTCTAATATCGGGTTCAACCTATTTGCAGTCAACGACCAATTCGCAATGTCCCAAAAGCTTCTGGACCGGCAGATGGAAAAAGCGTCAAGGCGACATCAATCAGCTGTCATGGGATGTGATTTACATGCTTTTGGTCACTCCCAGTAAAATCAAAAGCAATTTCTGTTGCTGTGATTTATTACATTCCCATCAGGTCAAATTGCAATAGAAAAATATGTAGTAGTAAATTACCATAATTACAACTAGTAAACAAAGCATTGCACCTGACTGTTACTGAGTAAACATGGTTGCAGTTGTGAGAAAGTACCGTATTTTCTGCACAATAAGGCGCTCCGGAGTATAAGGCGCACATTCAATGACTGGCCTATTTTAAAACAGTTTTCATATGTAGGGCGCACCGCATTATAAGGAGCATAGAACAGAAGTTACAATAGTGGCTGTGTTATGCATCCACTAGATGGAGCCACGCTAAAGGGAATACAATACAATACAGCTTTATTGATATCGCGCTTTCAAGGCGCGTCTGAGGAAACGGAATGCTTTTAGGTGCGCCTTATAATGCGGGAAATACGGTGAGTTCAATATCAGAAGAAAGTCGAGATGTTTTTTCTGGTATTGGGTAAAGTGCGGAGACAATTGATTGGATTGGGGAGCCTCTTGATAAATCTCTCACGTAATCAGTGTTTGATGATAAAAATACATGTAATGTCTGTAATGTCTTACATGAATTCCGTGAGTCTGATGTGCCAAGGGAGGAAGCCCAGAGTGCTGTCGACAAGGCCAAACTTAACCACCAGCTCCGGATCTGGAATATTGTTTGACTCTGGAAAAACAACACAGGGGCGCTTGTCATACTATCTGCTGAGTCATGTTCTTCATAAAGTATCAAGGGATGTCAATATCCACGGTTAACAATATCAAACGATTCTGAGAATTTTGGAGAAATCTCGAAAAGTGAGCGGCACGGCCATATGCATACGCAAACCGCTGCATATCGCACCAGCAGATTTGCCATGTCTTGTTTTGTGTTTTCATTTACGTTTTATACAATCTCATTGGAATTGGAGTTTGTATTTGCTGTGCTGCTCGTCATCAAGTATCACACACAAAAAAACCCCTAAAAAAATGCGTTCAATAATTTAAAAAAAAAAAAAAAAAAAGGAAAACTATTAACAATTCAGAACATTAATGATTCTCCAGAACGCGAACGAGATTGGTCCCCCCGCCTCTCCACTCCCTGGTACTTTGCATCCTCTTCAGCATATCTCGTTGAGTAATGACAGCGGATTTCTTGAGCACTGCAACGTCCTCTGTGCATTCCAGACATGTCGGTGCTTGGAAAAAAAAAATGTCCACTGTTTTTCTTATAAGTGGCTGTTCTCCTCATCAACCTCTCTCTTCAAGGGGGGTTCGTCATCCCGTGACCCGTGAGTTTGAGACCCCGATGTACAGTACCGTATTGGCCTGAATATAAGACGGTGTTTTTTGCATTGAAATAAGAATGAAAAAGTGGTGTTCGTCTTATATTCGGGGTCTAGACATTATACCCATTCACGACGCTAGATGGCGCCAGATATCATTGAAGCGAATGCTGAACTTGACTCCCCAGGCCAAAGTGAACCCCTGTCACGAAGAATAAAAATAAAAATAGCAGTAGCACGAAGAAGAAAAATAAAAAATAGCGGTAAGAAAGAAAAGAGAAGAAAATAATAGCAGAGATAACAGAAAATGGAGAAACATAGCGACAATCTGGAGAAAAGTGGGTCGAACATCGGCCAGGTTAACCAGCAGCTGAGGAGAAGTTATGATGCAATTTGGTGTTCAAAAAGTCTTTTCAAACTTGCATCTTGAAAAAGAAGGGGTCATCTTATAATCAGGGCCGTCTTATATTCGGGCCAATACGGTATATATTTACACAATAAACCTCTGAATGTGGGACTACTCTGACATGAGTGGCAATCAATTCGTCGATTTGACTTGGAGACCAAACTGGAGTAACAACGGTGCTCCGTATAATCATGACTGCATTTCTTCAAATGTTCCGGGTACTTGTGCTGCTTTTCATGATAGCTCGTTTTCAGTCCCATAAGCGCTCTCTGCGGCGCAATGAATTATTTACGCCTTGTTGCGAGCAAGTAAGGCGGAGGCACCAAATGCAGTGAAAGTGTTTTTTTTTTTTTTGAAGACGGAAGTAGATGGTATGATTTCGAACTGGGCAATTGATGAATAACATTTTTAAAAATGTCTAAAAAGACATGATGTTCATTGATGTGGTGAAAAGGCAGAGATTGCGCAACATGTTGCTCTACTTCTTTTCATCATAGGCCGAGCCATTGTCACATGTAACAAGACATGGCAAATGCATGTTCCAGACACACGTTCATGACAACGAACGTTATGAAGCGTTTACCTCTGAGCAATGTGTCGAGCATCGACACGGTGATGTCTTTGGAGCTCCTCTCTTTGTTTTCCACAGAGCGACAGAGTTGCTGTGCGGCCTCAACGATACTCTGCTTGCCATCTTCTGGGGACAGCACCTTCACCGTGGGTCGGCACGACAGCACTGAAACACACAAATAGTTTCCAATTGAAGGGACGACCGCAGTGTATCGCATTGGATAGTTTGAAGCTTTTCAGGTGCATTCTGATGTGCAAGTGAATGCAGTAAATACTGAAGCTGCTCAAACTGAATTAGCTTCAGTCCTTTGAAATTAAATTTCATAAAGTCATCCCAAAACAAACAAACAAAAAAAAAAAAGCCATTACCATTTTCTGAATGAAACCGTGACCCATGTTCCACACACAAAAATATGGCCCGTTACAAAGAGTACAAGCGCCACTTTGTGCAGATGAATGTGGTGCACAAAATTAGCATTTTGATTTACATTTGAGAACCCGCCACCCTCAGCCCCCAAAACAATGCCATTTTTATGTTTCTGAAGTCAATACTGTACATCCTTACAATGGTGTTCCTTATACAGTGGTACCTCTACTTACGATATGAATTGGTTCTGGAAGAAATTTCCGAACGAGAAAATTTTGTAAGTAGAGACACGTTTTCCATGTAACTGCCCTAATCCGTTCCAAGCCCCCCCAAAATTCAGACATAAATGTTTTCTAAAGCATAAAAATGCATCAAAATATGTAAACAATAGATGTTACAATTAAATTATTGCACAATAAATGAGAGTTGTGCATAAGATAAAAAACAAAGAAGAGCGTAAAGAATAAAAATGATGGTGATTTAACTTAACTGGGGTCTCATTGTTTTTTGCCCTCTTTAGTTCATGTTCTCTCCCAGAAGTGGATTTTGCCTGGCGTTTTGTAAAGAACTGATCCAAGACGTTTGCCTTTGTCGGGCTTTTAACAATCCTTTGAAAATGTCCAAGGCAAAAAAATCAACATAGTGAGCGATCGCCCGACTGGTGAACACTTTTTCTGGGTGATTCTCATTTACATTTTACATTACATTACAACATTTCGTTAATGGATGCTACAGCTTCTTGTTGCTTTCACGCTTAGCTTGTAGCAGACGTGTGCACATTGCAGCATGACTTCTTTGATCCACTGGTGAAAAGGACATTTTGATTCGCTCCTCTTTCATCTATAACTGCTTCAGACAACAAAGTGTATGCAGGAAAGTGGTTAAGATTGCATGATTGTTTGTGTCTCATGTGTTGTTTTGTATTATTTTGTCATTTTTGTGAACTTTTCTTTCGATAGCGGCGCGGACACCCGCAGCGGCTCCTCTTGTTTTATGTGAGAGGGAAGAAATTTCATCTGTGTACAGCACATTTGACAATTAAGTTGTATCCAATCCAATCCAACATAAAACTATCAGAACGCCTCATGGCCCGAGAGGCGAATGACAAGAATGCTGCATAGACGCATAACTATCTATCCACACACAGAGACAGATACGGTAGAAGTCCCTCTTAGCCAATGGGATGCCAGGAAGATGCTCGGTAATAGGCAATGGCAGAGCAGCTATAAATATGTTGCGTTCAGGAAACTCGGAGCTGCAAGTAGTAACCCACACTGTATTTTTAGCTTTCGTATCTCGAAATCTCTTTCGTAACAAGAGGCAATATTTTCCTGTCGAGACGTTTCATAAGTTGAAAATTTCGTACGACAAGACGTTCGTAAGTAGAGGTACCACTGTATGTCACTTATTTGTTGCTATGTTTTCAACCTGTTACATTGAATAATGGGACATTAGAAATCTTAAGAAAAAAAAGAAAAAAAAAAAGTCAACCAAAAACCTCTCAGTCCAGCACTTGAAACAAAGGTCAACCGCCACTATTCTTCTAAATTTGACTTCATTGTTGCACGCGGCCATCTGATAAGTAACACAAGGAGAGGGCTGAATGTCATTGCAGCCCTGAGCCCGACCGGTCAAACTGAACGGGAGCACAGGGACTTTGGCCAGCAGAAAGCAAACCTGACAAGTCGTATCAAGTGACAAGACTGGCTGCACCTGCTCTGCGCTCTCTTCCGTACAGATTTTCAATCAAGGAAAAAAAAACATTTCAACACTTTAGTGGTTTAGTGTGCCTTACTGGAAATATTTATGACCGAAACCAGCAATTCTCACCAGACTGGTCAATCTGGTTAAAAATAGCTTTTTGTGATTGCAAAATACTCTGGACAATTGCTCTGGCCACTCGCACACGGGTGGAGTGTCAATTGATGTGGGTGTCCTGTGTCAAAGGTTAGAGTGGGCACAAAAAAACAGGCAACCATCACATTATTTATGTCAGTGACACTATTGCTGTACCGTTGAAGCAAATGCGATCCATCATTGGTAACCTAAATTGAATGGCTAAAATTTAAGATACCGTATTTTCAGGCGCTTCGGATTATAAGGCGTACCTTCAATGAATGAAACTGCTTTCATACAAAGGGCGCACTGCATAATAAGGCGCTTAAAATAGAAGCTACAATTGTAGCTGTGGTTATGCTATGCATCCACTAGATGGCGCTACGCTAAAGGGAATACGACTATTTATATAGAGCCTCCACAACCGCTGCAGCTGTAACAATGCGAACGACGATTCAAGTCACAAACATGGACATGAAACAAATAAATACTCTGGCTGCACAGAGTTCACAAAGTAGTTGTGTGTTTGAGTGTGTGTCAATTAGTGTTGGGCAGAACCACTTTCGATTACAATTGGTTCCTGCTCATAATCACCACGGGATGGCATCGAAACATTCACAGGGGCACACTGTCGGCTTTTGAGAAAATTGAATGCTTTTAGGTGCGCCTTATAGTGCGGAAAATACGGTACATGAACCCCAGTAGACAAGTGTATATACACAAGAGAATAATTTAAACTGCCACGGAGACCAAAATGACCCAAACTTCTCATTTCTCCTTTGACCTTTTGAGTGATTTATCTCTCCCCTAGAGTATGTGGCGAAATAAAAGGCTTGTGTGCACCATTACATAACCCAGCGAGTCACCATCAGGTCACTGGAGCAGCTCGGCAGATGTGCAGAGTCCTCACCGTTGTTATGGGGTTTGTCGGCGCAATCACTCAGGAACTCCACATTATATTTGGATCCCTCTGTACCGAGCAGGTGCTGCTGTTGTATCAAAATCACCTCGAGTAGACGGGAGTTGTTCTTCCTGAAAATACCTGGCAAGAAAAAGAAAACAGATAAACGTGACAACATGAGGACAATGACACCAACAGATTCACAACATACTGATGATTGTATAATTCCAATTAAGGTATGACATCTTGTTTTCGTCAACATGATTGAGCCTAAATGTGCATATTCTAAAATAGTGTACAGTTCACATTATGGTATGCAACTTGGGTGTACGATGTGCAATCTTGGCAAACTGCATCATGGAGAGCATGAGTGCGTTTTGGAGGAGTCAGCCTGGAGATGTGTTGATTGAGCAATATCAGCAAGTCGAGGAAAAAAACGAGAGTACTTACTGAGGTCGAGCCGTTGTTTCAGTTAGCAAACAACTCTCCAAACCGTGCTTGATTTAAGGTGCTTGTCACAAAATAGAATGCATTTCAAATTGAAATTTTACAGCTTACTGAATATAAAACAATTGATTGAATTGAGTTAAAAAAAAAACATGAAGAAGTATTTCGTGATTATTATCAGTGTTTATTCAGTGTCTTTTTTGATTTTAGATAACGCTACAAATCTCAGCGCCAGCGAGAATAATGTCTCAGTTTAAATACATTTTATGGTGGAACTGCTGTTAGTTTGTATTGCAATTAATCAAGATGGACCACAATTATTGTATATCGTCCACTGCCTAATATTAATAATTTTGAATTAAAACTGCTGCCCGAAGACAGCTGGAATAGGCTCCACGACGCCCGCGACCCTCCTGAGGATAATTCGCTTGGATAAAGAGAAAGAATTTGAAGTTACGTGTTCTTTCATCTCTTTCATTAATGTTTGATGTGTTTGGTTCGTGGTATCTTTTCATTACTGGTATGCATCCATTCTCTGGCAGGCTTATCCTCACTACGGTACTTAGGCAGGTATAATACCGGTTATCGGATTCTGAATTTTGGTCTTGCGACTGACTTTCCATGAGCCCACTATCCTAAGCCTCATTTATCTGACATGACTGTACACTCACTTTGACAAAATAGGAGAAACCAAGATTTGAGAAGATTAACTGTGGAGTTCACTGCAGCATTTTAGTGGTAAGAAATGTTTACAGCTTCGTGAAAGCAATCAGTCAGCCCAAAAAATTACCACAGATCACATCTTAGAAGATAGACTTACATATCTATTTAAATCGTAGTTCCGTTAAGTTGGGTAACGTGTATATTTACCGTGATTATCATAGATGCTGACATAGGATATACCGACAGCCATACACCAGACAACCAGGTTGGCAATGTCCGTGTAGCTGGGCTCCTCTTCTACTACCAACAGGCCGATGTGGCTCGGCAACTTCTCCAGAGACCTGCCGTCAGTCAGCCACCGGTGTCGGCGATTAGGAAGACAGTTTCCATTTCCGGCAGTGCGCCGAGCATCAAGGTTTAACTTCCCCCGGTGGTCCGGGAAGCCAGCCATGGACATTGGAAGGAGCAATGTGGCCATCGCTCTCTCCCACAACCGCCCCTTCCAGTTCCGAAGACGGACACGGAGGCAGGAGACGAGTGCTCTGATGCTATGAAGCAGGAACAGCAAGAGCCGCCACAATAAACCGTACAACAGTGCCATAAATGTCCTTGACTAATTCTAAAATGGGTTGGGGTATTATAAGTGCGGTACACGCTTATTATGTCTAAGTGCAAATTGCCTATCAAATCCTTGTCGATGTCACCCGCCTGCCGCCATCTTGCTTTCTCCCAGACAACCCCTGACCTCTGAACCGTCAGCGTGATTACACGTAACTCGCGGATTGGTTGAGACGAAGGTGACGTCAAACAAAATGGGGCGTTTTCTGCACTTCAATTTCCACTTTTAGATGGAGTAATTTAAAACCTCTTTTCTTAATTTTTTGAAACAGAAATAAAGCAGTACCTAAGTTCTATTATGGATTCTAAAAATAAGAGAGCTGTTAAAACTCTGGCTATATGCTACTTATTTGAAATTTTTGTTTAAAATCCCCTGGCTTCTTTTTTGTTTAAATGTTTGTAATATGTGTATGTATTAATAACATGTTCATTTTGTTTTCTGTTTATTGAGAATTGTACTATGACTTGTTCGAATAAAGATTCATTAAAAAAAAAACAAAACTTCAATTTCCACTTTTTTCCCCGTTTGTCTCGTATTAACCGTTTGTATTTGTTCCCGAATATATACAGTATTACACAATACAGTAAACTGTATACAGTATATTAAGTACAGCATTGGATACTTAAGATTCCTTCTATTTTCCAAATATATGCATTTTAAGTTAATTGCCGAAGAGCCAGATTTTTTTCCTTTTTCCTATCCATCCACACATCCACACATCCATCCATCCATCCATGCATCTATACATCCATCCACCGTTTTATCCTGACGAGGGTCAACCCCTCCTTAAAAATACAAATGTAACAACGTTAACGGAGCACACGCACGACTGACTCGAAACACGTCTTTATACCACCATTGCAAACAAGTCAATCTCAACAATTGCAATATTGCGCCAAAATGGCCGCCACACAGTAACAATAACAATAAAAATTAACACTAAATAAATTAAAACTAGATAAAAACTTTCACGCTTCCAAGTTTTGCTGCGGTGTTGGTGCTCTACAGAACAGGAGAGGGAGACATTGTGCAGTCAAAAAAAAAGGCATGACAAGTTACTCATGTAATAAGAAACGAAGAAGACGAGTGAGGCATTCGTCGTAGTTTTGTTTGCTTTAACCATCGGAACTTTAAAATGGGTTAAAAAGCATAGTCCCCAAAAAGGTAACAATGGCGTCAAGAGCATTGAAGCGAGCCGGCATTCCTTCTAAGTTATGCGAACAACTCAAACGACATAAAATAGAAAGCTGTAAGGTAAGATTCTGTCGATATAAATAAATACTGTCATTGTTGGACGTCTATTTGACCAATAGCATACTCTTTCTTTTTAGTAGCAGTTTAGTAGTTAGTCGTAGTACGGTAGTAGTAGTCGTAGTAGTAGTGTTGTCATTACACACAAGCATGTCTCATTCAGCATGTCATTCCTTTACAGGATTTGTTGTTGCACACTGCATTTGAAGTGATGCATGCCGCAGGATTGAGTTACCAGAAAACTCTGGAGATGTTGGAGACTGTGAGCAAGGTTACTGCTCCCTCATTCACCACGGTTTGTGCAAACTCTTCCCCACAAGCCTCACTGTCTGGTTTGCGATAGCTACCAACAAGGGAGTGTCTTGACATTCACACTCTTGGGAATGATCATTGACAACATGCTTTCTCCAAGTAGGAGGGGATTTCTTTATTAATCTTAGTTTACGGCAAAGAGACTTTACTTGATGAGCTATCTTGGATCAGCTCTTCAGTAGTTTGAAAAAAAACTATGCTAAGCATTGAAAATTTGGGTGGAATTGCATTTACAGTGGCAATCGTGTAAACTGTAATCAGTTCTAAACACGCAATTCATCATCCGTCATTAAATCAGTTATGGTAATAATGAAAGCAAGGCAACGTGGAGCAAAAGTAATTAAATATCACACTTTTGAACTTCAGCTATTTTTGACAGGCCTTAGAGTTGTGGAAGCGTCACTCAGATTCTTGCTTCTCGACATCAATAGCTGCTCTGGACAAAGTGCTGCGTGGAGGTCTTCACTGTGGAACCATAACAGAGGTATACCAAAGAAATTAACTGCATTCGATTATTTCTTCTGGATTACTTACTCGCACACGCATTGGCACAAATGCAGCAGTCCGTTGCATTGATGTTGATGATGATGTTTCTCGTCCAAGACTTTCTCTTGTCATGACTCATAAATTCATGAAATTGGTGGAAAAATAATTGTCCAGCTTTGATTTGTGTGTAACGATAGAGGTGTGCACGCAGGTTGTCAGTCTCATGTAGCACCTAAGCGTCTGCTCTTTAAAGCGTCGCGACACTCTTAATTATACTTTTGATGAAACCGAACGAAATGCATCATGTTCATGCTGTACCTGACTCAAGTGAGAAAAGAGGCCTAATGGAAAAAAAGAACAAAGGAAGCCACCTTTTAATCGAGTCTTGCTTACAACTGAAAGGCTTCACATAATCCAGGCAAACACATTTAAGACAACCAAAATTCTCTTAGCGTTTCATGAAAATATATTTCGGCTGTGCAGCACAATCTAAAAAGATTCAAACAACTTTGGCAAATTGTTATCGTTCAAACACATGACTCACTGAGTTTCCTCTCTCCCAGAATATGAGCAGAGATATCAAGAAATATGATTTCAGTCTAAAATAGGGCGACCCAACCTTTATTGACCCGAGATCTACTTTTCAAGCAGCCAACATCCCAAGATCGACCAATTTAGTGTCAACATCCACATGACATACCTTTTCCAATTTGCACGAACTACACTCACAACACTTTTTCGTAAGAAACCTGATGTCGATGCACATATTTGACACTTTTTCAAATGATGTGGCCCCTGGACATCGAGTTTGACACCTGTGCGCGAGAAAGTAAAAAAAAAATAAAAATAAAAATCGGGAAGAGTCTACGAGAACATCAGAACTATATTTGGGGTTAATGAAATGCATTTGAAATAGCGGCAGTTGTGTTCTGACTTTAATTTCACCTGAGGTCGAATATGATCGGTTAATTCTGAACACAGCTTGTTTTATTTACTGTAGATGTTGATCATGATACTTTTTCCAGGTGACAGGACCATCTGGATGTGGGAAAACTCAGTTTTGTTTGATGCTGAGTGTTGTGACCACTCTGCCGAAGGAGCTGGGCGGCTTGGATCGCAGCGTGATCTACATTGACACCGAGTCAGCGTTCTCTGCTGAGAGGTGAGCATCTGGAGCCTCCCAATCTCACAGCCAACAAGCACAAATTGTACAAGTTTGTTTATTTTTCTTGAGGTTTGCATATTGGGTAGAATCAGATATAAGATTGTCTAAGTATTAATGTGTTGTGGTACAAGGTTGGTGGAGATTGCACAGAACAGGTTCCCAGACTACTTCAACTCGAGGGAGAAAGTTCTGCAGATGGCAGGCAGGGTCCATATCTTCAGGGAGATGACCTGCCAGGATGTCCTCTGCAGGTATATCATACCGGAAGGATTTTGAATTTGATCAGCAAAACCATCATGAATCCTGTAATTTACCGGGATGTCAGTAGAATTAGAGAATCATGACTACTGTATCGGCCCGAATATAAGACTGTGTTTTTTGCATTGAAATAAGACTGAAAAAGTGGGGGTAGTCTTATATTCGGGGTCTAGACGTTATACCCATTCACAACGCTAGATGGCGCCAGATATCAATGAGGCGAATGCTGAACTTGATTCCCCAGGCCAAAGTGAACCCCTGCCACGAAGAATAAAAATAAAAATAGCGGTAGCACGAAGAAGAAAAATAAAAAATTGCGGTAAGAAGGAAAAGAGAAGAAAATAATAGAAGCGATAACAGAAAATGGAGAAAGTTAGTGACAATCTGGAGAAAAGTGGGTCGAAGATCGGCCAGGTTAACCGGCAGCTGAGGAGAAGTTATGATGTAATTTACATTTCAAAAACCAGAAGCCATTCATTTATGAATGTGATTGCACTTTAGATTTGAATGAGGCAAAATAACATGCTTTTTCTCTCAAATATATTGTTACAATCATTTGTTTCAGATGTACTGTAATTATTTTCTGTATAAAAATTAATTTGGTGTTCAAAAAGTCTTTTTTCAAACTTGAGTCTTGAAAAAGAGGGGGTCGTCTTATAATCAGGGCCGTCTTATATTCGGGCCAATACGGTATTTTCTAATTTTGCAGTTTACTATACTCATTGTAATCTGCCAAGGGAAAATTCGCTGTGCTGTATATTTTGTGTTGCACACTGTAGTTGCCATTGAAAACTATTTATTTGAAAAGGAGCGGAAATCAAACCGTGGCCATTTATGTCCAAAGCTCCTGCCACCCTGCTGAGAATAATATATAAATATACTGTTTTGTCACCACGACTCTTGAGTTGTATTTTCATTTTGCACCACTTGCAGTTCCTCAATACGTCTCTATTTTAATTGGCAGACTGGAGAGATTGGATGAGATCATCATCTCAACCAAAGCGGGCCTGATTATCCTCGACTCAGTTGCTTCAGTGGTGAGAAAGGAATTTGACACAACGTTGCCCGGCAACCTGTTGCACCGCAGCAACCTGCTCGGACAAGAAGCTACCATCCTCAGATATTTGGCCCATCAATTCAACATCCCTGTAAGTAGTCTACAGATTGCTCTGCGATGGTAGCAGGGTGTTTCTTTTTGTTACTTTCAAATAATGCACGTCATGAAATCAGATTTTCATCACACTCGCTTCGTAAGAAACATATGCAATTCTGCTTAGCTGCCAAGTTGTGCGGAAAAACTTGATGTGGGGAACAGCAGGATGCAAAATAAAGTCATTTTTCCGCAATATGTCCTCTTTAAATAAAACTAATTTTATCAGTATCGATACCGTTTATTAGCATACGATAAGCTCAATGTTACCTGTATCATGTTGCTTGATGGTAGAGGACCCAAAGAGTCGGCAGGAGCAGGGTGGACTGAAGACATTGTATTAAAACACTGGAAAAACTAAATCCAAAACAAACTAAATCCTGAAAACACCAGGAAACCAAAGGAACAAACAAAGCCCCAAAGTAACCCGATGACGGCCACATGACATGCGGTGCCTGGAACGAGAACGAGGGGACGGCTGCATGACATGCGGTGCCTGGAACAGGAACGAGGGACGGCCGCATGACATGCGCCACCTGGAACAGGAATGAGGGACGGCTGCATGACATGCGTTGCCTGGAACAGGAACGAGGGACGGTCGCACGACATGCGCAGCCTGGACGGGAAAGGGTACCGGCCGCAGGATGTGCTCCGCCAGAACAGGGTGGCAATGGGATCAGGCCCTTTGATCCTGCGGGGTCTATTTCCTGGTCGGATTGTTCTGTCATGTTGCGGGATGGTGGAGGACCCAAAAAGTAGGCAGGAGCAGGGTCGACTGAAGAAAATGTATGAAAACACTGGAAAAGCTAAATCCAAAACACACAAAATCCTGAAAACACTAGGAAACCAAAGTAACAAACAAAAACCCATGGCAGGGACAAAAACGTGACAGCAATACAAACAAAAATCCATGACAGTAACAGCACAAAAATTCAAGCCTGAGTGGTCGGCGAAGCACTCCTTTTCAAAAAAAGAACTCATGAAATGATGACAAACAGGTGCGACGCTGAAGGAGGAGCCCTAAAGTGCCACCTGTTGGTCACAAACAGAACAATCATGACATGACAAGTAGATGGACAGATACATTTTCGAAACTTTTGGGTGCTGAAATGGAGACCGAGGCCTCATGAAGCCAAAAGGAGTCACCTTATAGGTTTAAAGTGTCACGTAGCAAGGTGGTGGTGGACCCCAAAAAAGCAGGCAGGCGGGAGGAGCAGGGTGTACTTGAAGAATTGTATTAAAACATAGAGAAAACTAAATTCAAAACAAACAAAGTCCAAAGTATCAAACAAAACACATGACTGAAGATAAAACATAAAAATGACCAAAACATGATTGAAACAAACAGCAACAAACAAACATGACAGTTGCAAAGAGCAACAATGACCCGACACTGAGTGTTCGGGCTGGGAGTCCTTTTAAAGCACTAATTACATAATGACCAACAGGTGTGCAGCTGCAGGGGAAGCCCTACAGTGCCACCTGTTGGTCCCAAACCGAATCATGACAAAAAGAAAAGATTGAGACCACCAATGTTAACCCCCTCAATGCCCCGGCTGCACTTAAACCGCTTTTTCTGGAATGACATCCCACTGAACATTCGGCAAGCCTCCTCGCTGCCCATCTTCAAAACCCACCTCAAAACTCACTTGTATTCTTTGGCATTTGACTCAGCATGACTTAGATTTGTTCTTGGTTTTGCTGTTCGGTGCTTTCTACCGTCTTTATTACCGATTTGCTTTACTGTTTGTTGTATATGTTGAATTGCTCCATGTACAGCACTTTGTATGCAGCGATGGCTGTTTGAAAGTGCTCTATAAATACAGTTGAGTTGAGTTGAGTTGAGTTTTTCAGCGTGCGTGCTTTTGGAAAGCCGAGGCCATCTCTCTGACTCAGAGTACCGGTCGTCTTATTAGTCATTACAAAGTGGAATAAACTTTGTGCATTTATGTTGACAAGATAATTATTTATGTGGTAATAAGCATCACATTAAGTGTTTGTGCCGTTCATGTAGTGGTTACCACTGTAGTGTCATATAATCACCACTAGATGGAAGTGGTGTTGTGCAGTAGTAGTGGTTGTAAATTCAATACCAACAACTACCGTAGACAGAGTGTTTTCCTTTCGTCTTTCTAGAAGCCAAAAAGTCAACATTTGAAAAAAAATTAAAGAGCTGAATGAACATCCACCGACACTGCTGATTCCATAAATGTTGCCAAGGGTTGTCGCTGCAACGGGGAAACAACTGCACACTTTCCCATTTTCAGTTCTTCCTATGGGGGTGTGTCCGGGTTCTTTTGTTGAGGCCAGGGGTGCCCAAACATTTTGGACCGAAGATCGACTTTTCGATCAACCAACCTCCCGCGAGCGACCTGTTACCGCGCATGCACATACACACGCACACCACGATGAGCAACAGCCTAACACGGAGGCACGTGACGCACTTTTGCAGCCTGTTAACTATCGTAGCTCACGCATACTGTTTTAAAGTGCTTCCCTCGGCCCTCCAGATTCCTGTTCTTTGCCCGTGCCCTTGGTGAATTGTACACGAAACAAACTCTGAATGAGAATAATGATTACGATAAAAGATATTGCGCAACAGCTCTGATCACAAGCTGCAATTGCAGACTGCTGAGCGCGAGCAACTTCCGGTGACGCAGGTCACGCGCCACCGTAGGTTAAAGATTTACCTGCCTTATTTTATTTTATTTTTGTAATACTTTTTGTGAAAATGAGGCTGGTAGGACGATTAGGGTGCAGTGTACATTAACAAATAAAAAAATATTACTAACATGCACAAAGACACATAAATGGTTGTTTGTTTGTTTTTTTTCTCCTCTACACCCCTCACGCTCGACCAGTCTGCGATCTACCAGTCGATCGCGATCGACGTAATGGGCACCCCTGGTTTAGGCAGTTTGTAGTTGTCATCGTAATGTAAGGTCTAACATTGGAAGTTACTTTCTCAGCCAAATATAAACCAAAACTTTCCATAGGCAAAAGTTTGCAATTTGTATGTTTTCTCTCCCCAGGTGTTCTTAACCAACCAGATTACGACTCACACCGGGCATCAAGGTGAGCGCTCGCCAGGAACAGCACTCAAAAGACTTTTTTCTTCCAGTTTATTAATTCTTTGACCAAACATCAGTTTTCTGTTGTTGTTGTTTTGGACACGTGTTTTTTTTTTTGTTGCAGCAAACCTAATTGGGAATTACGGTCAAACAGTTCCCACATTGGTCTTGCCAGACTATAACAAATTTTAACCACATGATATTGATCGACATAGTTTTGCAACCCACCCCCCAAAGCCAAACACGTGGATAATACAAGACATTGTTTTCACACGTTGCACACAACCCCTACTTTCCAGAAATGAAATTCGATTTGATTCATTCAAATGCTTTGATGGCTTTAAAAGGCTTTACAGAGCATGACTTTGTTCCGAAGATCCAACGACTCGATCAGCTGAATTTCTTTTGGGGTGGATCAGCGCTTTTTTTAAAGAAGACATAATATGCATTCTTTTTTAACAATTTCCAGGTGTCTTAAAAAGGTCAAATGTGAAGTAAACTTGGCCAACCATCTTTTGAGTAATACTAAGGAGTAAAAAACTATTTGAAGCAAATTTAAACATTTTTTTCATGCAACCCACCCAGGTTCATAATTAGACCCATAGCAACGCGCTTAACAACAAAAATGCAATCTTCGGAGAGTGACGTCATTCAAAGATTGCCGAGTCGCAGCCATTGTACCGTATTGTTGAATGTCCCGTTTGCTGCTCTCTGCCATTGTTATCGAGTTATTCGGCAAAATGCCTCGGCGCTGTGTGGCGATGCATTGTTCACATTCAGGCCAGCGTGTGTTTGAGTGGCCAAAAGAAAAAAAAAGGGGGGGGGGGCGTAAATAGACCAGTTTCGATCTCGCAAAGCAAATTAATTTCACGACGGTGTCGATAAGAATTCTTTGTCTTCAAGCACTTTCAAGACCGTTTTACTGATGAGAAAGGGTTTGCAAAAAAAGTAGGTATGATAATCAATAACTGGCCGTTGTTTACAAAATCATTCAAAATATAGGAGTGCATGGATAGAATCCTCTCTCATTGTTTGCAACTATGCTAACACTACAGCTATGCTAATGCTACGAATGCTGCCGCTATATTGTGCGGCCGACAATGCGACAGACGTACCTTAGCAATGACAATGTAGGACACCAAGCCACTGTGACTTGTGTTCCCAGTACTCGCGGGAATACATGGACCAAGTCAGTGACCTCATCGTGCCCAATTTACAGCGCGGCACAGCATTCAATTTCAAACAATGATGCTAGGCTAATAACCGTAGCCGTTAGACCTTAGCATTTTTCCAATGTAGTTGGGTCTCATCTCCAGTCGGGCACATTTTCCGCATCCTGAGCATCTAGTTCATACATATTTGGTCCAACTATTCTGCCCCCAGTGATTGTATTACAGTGCAGTGCAGTGCCCCTAGTGGCGGAAGTAGTTAGAACCACTCCAAAAGTCAGAGGGGTAGCCATTTTGATTCATAACAGTGGAGAGGTGTGATCACATCCACTTCCATCCGCTTTCTTTTGACACGTTCAGGCACAATCTTTTTACTCTTCTGCCCTAACCATGCGTTTGACATGAGAGCATGGTGTAGACAGCGAGCTAAACAATCCTTCCATAAAAATACCAAACCGGTGGATTCTCATCTTCGTGTCTTGTGCAGAACTGTGAAATATTAACTCCCACGAAGCTATTTTCGTCTCAGACACTGTTTATTGATACAAGAAATGATGGTTGAAACACTATGATGCTATCAGCAGATTTTCTGTCAACTCTGTAATTACAACATTTTTTCACAGGGGGTTGTGAACAACGCGGCATGTTATTAGCATTCTGATCACATGAAAACACTCGTTCAGCAAGTCAAGCAAGCAGAGATTCAGCATGCCTTGGAATCGGGTTTCTCATCCACTACCTCAATCGTGCCTATTATTCTGGTTTGTTGATTGACCGATAGTGTATTTAAACATCGTCGAGGAGGCGCAGCACAGCTCCAAACATGGTAGACGAGACTTGTGTTGGCACAAAAATGAAGTGACGCCTTTTTTGACACAGAGCGCAGGAGTGCCAGTCTTCTAAAAATAGGACCTATTAGCTGATACTGTATAATATTACTTTGAATAATGTGCAAGTCCATTTAATAAAATAAAGCTGCTGGATGATGGCTTTGGGGTTATGGGTCCTCCTCTAAACCCGGCCTGGTTGGTCAATGCGGAAATTTCCACAGGTTTCTCGGCCAGTCAGAATCATGAAATGAAATGAAATCACAGTTTCACGTCAGTCAGGATTGACAAAATTATACTTGCTGAATTCCAGAATGACCGAGGGATTTTTTTTTTTCAAACTTTGAAACTTTTCCACTACTGTATCTTGAATGTCAGAAGTTTTCGAACAGTAAAATGACTGCCTTGAAACAATTTATGAAAACCAATATTATGTCGTCATGTCTGTGAGCTTCTGGTGCATTACCGTATTTTGCGGACTGTAACTCGCTCCGGAGTGTAAATCGCACTAGCCATAAAATGCATAATAAGGAAGAAAAAAACATACATACATAAGTCGCACTGGAGTATAAGTCGCATTTTTGGGGGAAATATATTTGATGAAATCCAACACCAAGAACAGACATGTCATCTTGAACGGCTAATAAAAATAAAAGTAAAGAACAACAGGCTGAATACCGGTAAGTGTGCGGTATGCTAACGTTACATGACGCATAAACAATTAACTGAGAACGTGCCTGGTATGTTGATGTAACACATGAAGAGTAATTCAAATAACTTGAGCATAAATTGTAACAAGTTTACCAAACCACCAATGTCGCTCCAAATCACTAAATCCACTTTTAAAGAATTCCACGAACTCTGGTGGTAGAAGATGCGGCGCTTCCTCTTCTACGTCGCTTACGTCAGAGTGATCGTCAGTTGTTTTTATCCGTTACCGCAAATGTGGATCGTATCAACACAGGCCACAGCACCCTCTTGTGGTTTAATGTGAAAATAACGTGAAATTATATATTGTGTTAATCATTTCACACATAAATCGCTCCAGAATTAAGTTGCACCCCAAACTATGAAAAAAAACCTGCAACTTATCGCGTCTGACCCCAACCAAATTCAAACTGGACAAATTTGTTCTAACAGGCAATGTGCGTTCATTTGTCTTTTACAGGTTCGGGTTCAGCTGCTGAGGGGGATTCGGGCATCGTGACAGCAGCTTTGGGAAACGCCTGGAGTCACAGTGTCAACACACGTTTGATCGTCCAATATGTTGATGGACTTAAGAGACAGGTGGGGGGGGATACATTCCAGACTTGTCTACTATACCTTTGATAATACATTTTTCGTTGTATGAGATGGTCATTGGTTATTGTCCTTTACCACTGGGAATTG